TCTCATGTCTTAATGCTTGTCTTGACGCAGTAGGTGTGCAGCGGCCCTAAACTTGGATTTTTAGTCTTTAACTCAAGAATTTTCAGATAATGTCCTATGCTTTGTGCAGTATTATGCAAACTACCTGATCTATCAGAATCGTAATGGTTGGTAAAGCTAGCACAAATCTGCAACTTATCAGCAAAAGGCCTCTCCCCTTTTCTACCCATGACAAAAATGGTATGGATCTAAAGATGAATTTATTTGATATACAATGATAATGACATAATAAAAACCATCAACATGTAGCAGTTAATAACTTTATTTATTGGATAAAATATGCCTTACATGTTCCATCTCTATCATCAGAGGCTCATATGTTAAAGAGAAGATTGCTCAGTATACATTAATTTCTGGCTAACTATCCAATAAATGAAGCTTCTAGCTACTACATGTTATACTTGATGGTTCTTTATTATTTCATTATCAATATAAAGCATAACAGCTGAAATGTTTCACACAAAATTTATATAAAATGATTTGTGAAACTTTATCATTGAAAAATAACATGACATCAAAAGGGATAAATAGGACGCTTTAGTGCACTGTGAAAAAGAGGCTAGTGTTACAAACTGTGATAACTGAAAAAATTATTTAACTCAGACAATTATTGTTCTCAGTCTTATTCTCAAAACGTTTCCAATTCTCACCTTGAAATGAAAGCCATTCTCGTATGTCACATGCCTTACACCAAAATCCTCATCCTAAAGATGACTTACTCTGGTACTATCCTAGTTTCTTTACTGTGAAATACCCTACTGTCATATATCCGATCTCTCTCTCTCAACTGTTAACTGATAACCTTAGCCATATAGTAAGCTGGTCATATGGGAACATCAAATCACCGATTCTAATGCAATGTGTGCCTTTTGTCATTATGAGGGAGCATGTGACTGGGCACAGGGACAAAAATAGGCATGTTCACAGTTAATTTCTTTAAAACAATCTATTTTGAATAAACAAAGCTGGAAACACTGCTAACTTTTTCCAACTCCACAGTACGATCTTACCAGTTTGCTGAATTTGGAATTCATGTATTATTAGTACTACTACTATTACAGCCAGTATTTTGAATTGTCTGCAATGAAATTAACAGCATCTACACAGTTTTGTTTCTGTAACTGGTCTTGTAGCTGCTGACTCAGCACATAAATAATAAAGAACTGTATTATTATTAAATTCTAAAGGGTTCTGACGATGGTGTATAATACTCAGAATTACTGGGTTTTTGGACTTTCTTCATCATGTGGTATTCTAGAAACTCTGTAATTAAATTAATAGTATTTACAGTGTGCTGTTTCTGTAAATGGCCTTGTAGCTGCTGGCTTAGAAAGAGCTAACCTATCCTACCAAAAAGGTGTCTTAAATTAATCTGTTAAGAGCTGTGTAGTTATTGAGCTAACACACAGCATGTAAAGTTTCTTAAAAATGGAAGTTTAAAGAGCTAATATTTCCATACAATATTTCTCATTATAGCCATGTTCCTCTACAACATACAGCCATTTACATTTTTTTTTTTAATTTTCGGTGTGTCTTGCATAAAACAGTCAATAACTTCATTTGTACTCAATACTTTTGGTATCAGTAATGTTATTCTTATATAAAATCTCAAATTTAGAAATCAATAAACCATATTCTTTTCTCCAGACAAACCAATCAAGTTTCTGTAGAACAACCGTTACGATTCGATAATGCAGCCTGTTTAAAACGACCAAAATTCTTCAAAAAGCATCAAGTCCTTGAGTATTTTAAACAAATACAAGGAAATGATGTGGATTTCTTCAATTGACCTAATCCTTCCAGCCACACTATGGCCCTAGGGTCGACTCAGCCTCTTAACAGAAATGAGTACCAGGAATATTCTTGGAATATTCTTGGGGGTAAAGGTCGGCCGGCACATAAAGCTGACAACCTGACTGCCATCTATGAGCCAATTGTCTAGAAAATGTGGGAACCTCAACATCTCACAACCCTATGGGCCTCCACAACCTGTTACAGGGATACCTTTACTTTACTACGAAATAAATCCTTCCCTGATCAAAAAAAGAAATTACAGAAATGTGCCAAATTCAAGAGAAACATATATGACAGCAAAAAGAAAACTTCAGACAGTTCATTTCTCTTCCCCCTTCATCTGATGACATCTCTTACTAATTCTACAGTTTCTGAAAAAGTTGAGAATCCTCCTTCATAATCCATGACCCTTGCTCTAATAACTGCCATTTATTTCCTAACAGAATCTATTTCAATAAATAAATATTCTTGAAATCCTTTATGCTTTCAAAAATCATTCCTCAGAATCCAAAATTTTCATGGTTCTGTAGTGAGCTCTTGGGCACTACAAGGGTCAGTTTGACACATCTTCATACGTGCAGGTAACTAATACCCTGAGGGCGCGCGCGCACGCACACACACACACACGCACACACAAAGAGCCCTACAAAATTGGCTAAAATTAAATGCAAGAGAAGTTTACAGTATGACAGACATCGCAGTACTACAAAAATAATGATTTTAAGCAATAATAAAACTGAAATTATGCACACATATATTAATGCTTTATAAATGACCATAATCTACATTTACTATATCTTTTTCTTTTATTGTAATAGTAAACTGGGTCTCTTCTATCTTATAATGAAGGTATATTTACAGAGAAGTACTGATTTCATTCAGTATTGTTCACAGAATCCCAGCATTGGCCTAAATTTTATGCAACAATACTGAATTAACAAGCTGAGTATTTTTATTTTGCAATTAATTCATCTACAGTTTTCACACTATCATAGAACACTTAATAATAGGATGTACTGAAGGTTACAAATAAGAGCTTGCTTGCCATCCTCACTTCCAACTTCAATCCAACCTCTATGACCACAGGTTAAACTTTGGTATGATCTACATTAATATTAATATATCTTGCATGTTTTGAATACACTTATATAAACCCTTTGTACACCTACATCAAGCATGACTTTTGGGCACAATAACAAGTCACAGTTATCTCATGAGTTTCACTCATTGACCCTTTCCAGACAGGCTTATCCTTCTGGTTATGTACATATCATTCTAGGACCATTAAATGTGCCACTTATATACAGACCACAAGGAATTAATCTTATATATGTGTAAGGCATTAAATAACTTTTATTAAAAGTTAATACTTTCATAATAAAGTAATTAAACAACAAATTGAAATTTGCCATTTCTAGCTAATAAACATTAATGGTAGGGCAAATAATTTATTATTTTGAAAAGTAAAAACTTCTGATATGTGACACCTATAGTGTGCCAAGAAGTTCACTGAAGTTGCAGAGAAACATACTACAGTATCCGCCAAAATATGCAGCACTGAAACTCGCGCATCTCAAACGCGCATGTGTGTCTGTCGACAGGGCATAGCTCCAGCAGCAGGTGTTCCCAGTAGTGAAAAGGAAGTTGTGTTGTGAAGTTGTTGTTGGAAATGGGTCTGCTGACAAAGGAAAAAGTATTCATAGTTGAGTATTATTTCCTCTCATATGGAAGTGGTCGTGAAGGGGGACCAAGTTTGAAAAATGTGACAGAAAAATTCCAAGAGAGATTAATAAGATAGTACCAAGTAACAAGGAGTGTGTGTTCAACTGTGAAGATCCGCCAAGAACTGTGCCTACATTATGCGAGCAAATCGTCTCCTTTTGCAGGAGTCTGCAGCAACCTTTGTTCTGGGATATGATTGAAAATCTGCGTGAACGATACGAACACCGTCTACAGCGAGGCAGTGCACACTTCAAAAACTTACATTACGCATATCGTGGTAAATCAACATGCTAATAGTGTGTATGTTAGTTTCTTTCAGGATAAATAAACTCACAGATGACAACAAGGTAATATTGTTCGTCTTTTCATTTCAGTACTGTACTATCATTTTCAGGGTTGAAGAGTAAGACAAGCAAGAACAAACAAGAGAGGAAGGAGCAAGTGGCAAGCAGAGCTCTCTTTCTACAGAATGCTGACAAACTTCTACAAGACTACGTGGTGTCACATTCCAGATGATACTACTCTTCAGTTACCACTGTCAGAATATCAGCAGTCAATTTTTTAATGTGATTTTGCCGCCAAGTCTGTTTCCAACTGTCCTCAATTCATGATGTTTTAATTTCTGATATTATCCAATGAAGCTGTATGAAGTGCAATACCGAATTATATGATGATAAATGGCAGATCAGGGAAGTGGAGAGAATTCATATTTTAGAGATTATCTCCAACACCGCTCGGAGATACAAATGGAAACTATAAACCTCAAAGATATTCCTAGGTATTAACAGAAGCCAGGTATCTCTACACATGTAAACCTCTACACCAGTACTTTGAAAATGATTACTCATCAAAGGCAAAACAAAAAAGTTTAAAACAATCCTACGGAAATGAATATTGACAACCGCTGCACTGAAATTAACTGATCTGCTTGTGGAGATATTTTATTCAACATCATTCTATATGCAATATCTTACATATAAATAAATATCAAAATTTAAATTCTGTGTGAGTTCATTTCTTTCCTAACAACAGTGAAGTAAATGGCAATTACCCCAGTAAGCATCAGTACATCACTATGCTAAATAAAAAAAGAATAGTATTGGTTTCCTTTGGTACAAGTTCACAGCTCATGTGTCTATTCTTCTGTTTACCATCGCTGAAGGAATTACTCTGCGAACTTTCAAATCACATATCAACCACAGTCTGCCTGGCGGTAGAATTAACCACTCCTGCATCAAAGACATTTTGAGGACTGAACAGCAGCTGAACTCAGAATATTTTATGCAGGAGATTAATTTATTCCTCTAGTCAAATATATTTACCACATGCACTACAAAATCTTTCTTTATGGGCCAAAACTGCTAAAATGAAATCCATATTTATTTCATTATTATGAAAATACAAATAATAAACAAATCACTACCAGTAACTTTTTCATTTTGTTTCAGAGTTTTCTATTTTTTTATTAGTTATAAATATTTTACGTTTTTTATAATAATTTTAATTTTCTATGGAAGTAGGACTACAGTGAAATTGTATTACACGCAACTCAGTGTGGTGAATTCATGGATAATGATATTCTGAAGTGTGTGCTACTAAATTACTCAATTAAAAATGTATAATGTAAAGAGTTTAGAAAAGTTTTTATGTTGAACAGTTTCTACTGTAGCCCTTCCATCTTTACATATTTCACCGTCTCCATTTACACCTATGAAAAGTAATGATACAATCCGGATGTCCCCTGCGTTCCTTTCGAACCCAAAGCTCGAAGAACAGCAAAAGGATCACCCATCCCATTTTTGTCTTCCTCCTGACCATTTGGTGACACTGATGAATTAGATTTCTGTGGTGTTGCTCTAAGAACACTTGCATATGTTGTGCCTCCCCCATTCTGTCTCTGAGCAGACGATAAATCATCACCAGAACTTTCATCATGTCCGTTTGTCTTACTGAATTCTGTAGTGAGATGTTGCTGCTGCTGGAGATGTTGAACATGTTGCTGCTGTGTAAAGCCCTCTACTTGCTGCTGCTGATTGTGTACATGTGATGGGTAGAACACTGATAGTGGTGTAGATACATCCCTCTGCATCTGAGTTGACACTTCTCGCTGACGTAGACCACCAGGTACTTGTGTCAGTTCGCTCTGATGTATCGCTGCAGGAAACTGAGCCTGTAACTCTCTCTGATGACTAAATGACAACTGTGACAGAACTTCTCTCTGCTGGAGGTTCACTGGCAATGTGGGCGCAATGTCTCGCTGCAGTCCTATACTAACAGCTGCACGAGCATATCCGGCAAATGCCCCACTTGTTCCACTTGTAGTTTTGTCCACCACACCATCCAAGATACAATGTACAGGTGTGAGACTGACATTTTCCTGTGCTGTAAGAGGCACAGATGACTGTGGCTGACGACGATACAAAGGTACTGACTGCTGCTGATGTTGAAACGACCAACCATTACTAACATTCGCATCAAGACATTCTACAAGATTCAAATTATATGCAAACCTACTATTCCTGAAGTTGGTCATATTGTCTATGTTGTGTTGGTGAGGAGGTGGTGCTGGTGGTTGTGGCTGTGGCAATGATGTTAGCATCACTTGCTGCTGCTGGTGTTGATGAAGATGGCTGTGGGGCTGCTGAAACTGTGCTGACTGAATGGGACTTCCCCCTCCAACCCCTGCTGCGAGCATCATAGATGCTTCAAGATCTCTTGACATAAGAGGTTTACTGTTCATCATGGTGGACAAGGCTGGAAGATCTTCATGCTTCTCAGTTCCAACATAACAGTCTGAATGACTCTGAATTGAGCTTTCAGATGGCTGTGACACTGGGTGCTTGCCCTGATAATGAAATTAAAAATTACATTTTCAGTGAGTCTGAAATACAGTGTTCTGTTAGTGAGCATGCAAACAGGGCCAACATAACAGTGAAATCCCTAACTAACTTCATGGAGCTGAGCCCTTCTTAAGAAGCTGCCAATTGTGCAGATACTCAAGAACTTCCCAGCATTTTATGGAACCCGAATGTTAATTATCGAGTTCGCAAGAGCCCTCCACTGGTCCCTATCCTGAGCCTGATCAATCCAGTTCATACTATCCTATCATATATCTCTCAGATCCATTTTAATATTATCCATCCATCTACATCTTTGACTTCCTAGTGGTCTCTTTCCTTCTGGCTTTCCCACCAATATTCTATATGCATATGAGTTTCACGAGTTAGGGATTCAGTGACAGATGGCCATAAATGTTGGGCCCTATCTTGCTGGAAAACTTACTCATCAGGTACCTGTGGCACAGCACAGCACCTGCCACTGTTTTTTTATCTGTGGAATATTGCTCCAGCATGGGTTAATTCGCACCATGTGTTCAGTTTCAAGTTATCCCATCCATGTTCTTTCACATTATGAGGATTCTGATATCCCAAAATGTGACAATTATAGCAGTTAAATTACCCAAGATGAGAAAAGTAGCTTTGTCTTGGAAGCAGGCGCTGTTCAGATAGTTTTTATTGTTGCCTATCCAAGAAGTGAAGTGGCAGTGAAGTAATTTTCCTGCACTTTCCGAAACAGCTGCAATTTGTATGCCTTGAGTTTTAGCCATTTACGCTCAACATTGTGGATTGATGACAAGGAATTCGCAGTTTAGGGCTCATTCACCTTTGGTGAACTTCATTCAAAAGCTTCCCAAATTGCTTCAACTTTTCAGGTGTTATCTGCAGTCTACTGTTTGCACTCTGTCACTCAAATCTCCTGTTTTTTTGCAAATACTGGTGGCAATTAACAATTGTTTGTTTGCTTGTGGAACACAGCCATACTTCTAAAGAAACTTGGGCTGAACAATCATTGGAAACTTATACGAGGGGGGACCCAAAAATAACCGGAAACGACCTGTTGTGCGCGCATTCTTTGTAGTTACAAGTTGTGCTGCTAGGTGGTGTTAGCTGGGGGTCTCCCGCGACTGTTAGTGAGCTGGCGTCAGTCTGAGTTAAGTGGTTTGTCTGTGGTGCTCTGTTGTGTGCGTTCCTGTTTCAACCCTTTGGCGATTAGTGAGATGGCCGACCAGAAGGAACAAAGAGTGTGCGTGAAATTGATGAAGATCGTCGAAAGACCATTGACCAACTTTCTGAGGAAACGAACATCTCATGGAGCACGGTCCAGCGAATTTTAACCGAAGGTTTGCACATGAGACGGGTGTCTGCAAAATTTGTTCCTCGCTTGCTCGGAGATGACCAAAGAGAAAACCGCGTGAATGTTTGCCGCGACTTGAAGAGTGAAGTGCAGTTTTCCCTAACAGAAAGCAAAATTTCACGCACACTCTTTGTTCCTTCTGGTCGGCCATCTCACTAATCGCCAAAGGGTTGAAACAGGAACGCACACAACAGAGCACCACAGACAAACCACTTAACTCAGACTGACGCCAGCTCACTAACAGTCGCGGGAGACCCCCAGCTAACACCACCTAGCAGCACAACTTGTAACTACAAAGCATGCGCGCGCAACAGGTCGGTTCCGGTTATTTTTGGGTCCCCCTTCGTATTCTGCCTGCCTGCAGCACTTAACTTTTTCTTGTGGTGTGAATGACACCATTTTGCACAAAAACCAACTGATAGCTATTGTGCACGTGCAGTGGTGTTACCCTGTTGCAGGCACAACACTTAGTGAGTTCTGTTCTGTGCTGTGTTCACAGCAAACCACTGGCATGTATCTTCATTGGGAGTGATGTTCAGTTTCTATATCTGTTATGTTCATTTTGGACATTGTACTAAGCCACTGCACATCACAAACCATTCTTCACAGATGGTAGGATAGTTTCATGTGTATGGGGATTTTCTGTAGACCACAGAAATTTTTCTGAGAATTTATATACTCTCTAAGATGAAACCAGGACTCATCTGAGAAGAAAGTCCAGTCTGACATATAAGGGTCATCATCCTCTTTATCCATTAATCACTTACAGTAATGGTTTTGCTTTCCAGAATCTGGTGGCAACAGATGATATATGACATGCATTTTGTATGGAAACATTTTTAATTTATGGCAACTGCTGTAAGACACGTAGCTTTACATCACCTGTATCTGTATCCCATTGTGGTGGTGATGGGGGAGATGATGCTGTTGCTGTGGCTGAAGCTGGTTACAAGCTACAACTCCTGGCTGAGGACCCAAATTCTTGTCAGCAAACAATTCTTCCAAGTTTCTGATCATACCTGGAGGTGGCAGTGACTCCTGGGGTGTTAGTGGTGGAGAAGAAGCCTTCAACTGTCTTGAACCATTAAGGGAATTTGACATGCTGAGAACTAAGAGTTCCATGAACCTAAAACAAATTACATAATTATTAATACATATTCATGCGATAGTCTATTTGTAATATGTATGAGGTACTATACAGCATAGCGTGATTACATAAATGCTTCTTATTTTATAACATGCTTTATCATATGAATTTAATTCTTGTACCACAATGTCAAAGTCTGGCACAAAATATTACGTTGGTATATAATGTACAATACTGAGTTAGTGACAAACGAAGAAACAGAGGCAATATTTTTTTATTAAATTAAAAATTATTACTACAAATCCGAAAGCCAAAAGTTCCACACAAAAATGTTAAAATTAAAAACATAAGTACATAAAGCATCCATATAAATATTTTGTACCCAAACATATTTTTATTAATTTTCTCAAAAACAATTCATTGTAAGTTAAGAAAAGACTTTAAGTTTTGCCTCCAATATTTTCCAATGTTTTGAATATTAAGATAACTGTCTTCTGGGATGTGATACATGTTTACTGTGTGTCTCCAAAATATCAAAAAACATAGGCTCTGCAGCATCACATCCCAGAAAACAGTAATCTTCATAGTCACCATCATAAGAGACCCAAATCTCGTATCCAGACCTGTATTTAGGTCCTCGTTTCACACCTCGGTTGGGCCACTGATTATCCTGACTATGGTTTATTGTGGGTTTCTCCCCTCTCCTTTGGCAAATGCCAAGATGGAACCTCAATCAGGCTACAACTGCTTCCTTTCAAATCCCTTCCAATTCATTATTCATCAGTCATCTTACCATCTGATGCTATATAGGTTAGATATTGACAGTAAATTATGGACGTTTCCCACCCAACAGCAGTCTCTAATACCTCTGGTAGATCATAGATACCTCTCAGCTAGTACAGCCGGTCTCGCTGGCTGGGCGGGACTGATGGTAAGCAACAGTACCGGTAGGATATAGAGACTGGTAGAAATCACAGAGGGAAGCACAATGGACCAATACAGGTCTCAGTGCATGGGGAAACCCACCCTCTCCAATAACTAACTAACTAACTAACTAACTAACTAGATATTGACAGTGCCAATAAACCCCCCACCCCCATCAAATCAGCCATAACATCAGTATGAGAGGTCTTCAGTAACTGATTTTTCCATAGGGCCTGAACAAACTGTCAAATTCTAGTCATGAAAATAAAAATTAATTTTGCATCCAAAAGTGCTATAGAAATCTAGTCAATTTGTTGTTGTATTGAAGTTTAAGCCTTCCACCACCAAATTAGTTTAAACTGGCCACGATATCTCAGTACAAATGCATTATTATTAAATAGAAAAAAGAGAGGGAGCAGGAACATTTTAAGGAGTCATCATCATCATCAGTAATCTGTCAAGACGACAGGTCCACAGTCTCTTTCAAAACAATTCCTCCACTTAATGCGATCTAGAGCTTTCTCCTTCAAATGACAGTATCCTCTTCTGTCCCCAAGGTCATCCAGCATCTTCTTACGTCTTCTTCCTCGTCTTCTTGTCACTTCTATCCGCCCATCTATCTTTC